CTCAAAGTATACGGCAGCCGATTTTGATGAGGATATGCGAACGGTGCTACGTCGAGCTGGTTGTCGCAACGAAAAGATCTGCTTCATCATGGATGAATCGAATATGCTAGATACTGGATTCTTGGAGCGTCTAAACACTCTGTTAGCAAATGGCGAGGTAATTATTTCTCTACAAACAAACAAATGTGTACAACGACTTGTTAGAGACAGGCTAGGTTTATGTGTATGTATGTATGTGTGTATGTATGTGCTTCTGTATTTGTGTATATGTGTGTGAGAGTGTGTGTGTGCGAGTGTGTGTATGTATGTGTTTCTGTGTTTGTGTGTGGGTGTGCGTGTGTGTGTGTGTGCGTGTGTATGTTCCGTCAGTATAAGTGCGTGTGTTTGTGTGTGTGTGTGTACGCTATATGCGTGTGTTGATAGGTTGGCTTGTTAAACTGCGTACTTCTGAGAGTTGTTATCTGGGGCATTGAAATACCCCGAAGGGTTCGACTGAGGCCTGATGGTAATGGTCTACGTTGAGATCGAGCACACTTGGCTTATTTCGTTTCCTCAAGAAGCTTATCACTTAGGCATTTTTGATGGTCTGGACTGATATTGAGCCCCTGTAACTCAGATGGTTTCCCTCACTTGTTGCTTCATCTCCTTCGGTTTCTCGGATCTGTTATGTTGACTTTTCGTATGCGGTACTTTTCTTTCAGTGGACAGAATGATACACACTCCTTCCCAGAAATGCCGTGGTTTTTACCAGAGGGGACATTCTTACGACAGTTTGGGAAATGCGCAGAATATTAACCGAGATATCTACCTCGTTCTTTTTGCTTTTTTCGGAAACCAAATTTGCTTTTGTCTTGCATATTGTCCAAACTAGGACCTGCGTCAAAGAAATTTATTCGTTTTCGCCATTGTTGTTAGCCTATCAGTTTTGTCGTCCCTTTTGTTACAGCCATTCTTTCACAGTGCTTCCTGTCCCAATTTCTTCGTTGAAATCTAGCATAAGGAGCTTATCGCGACCCTATTTGTTATTTTGTTCAGACTAGTGAGTACCCCATGGGTATGGTGTGTGTGTGTGTGTATATGTGTATGTAACACGCCGCGTCCTATATACACGTTTAACCATACACAGTAAAGTGAAAAGGCAAGATACAAAAAGTAGGTGAGGCTCTGGGGAGCCGAAGCTCCCCAGAATAGGAATATAAATGTATCGCAGGAAGTCGCAACTGGAGACTGGTCGAGGAGATCGGTAAAGGTGGTCCTGGCAATGGGGAGGAGTGCTTTTATACCTCAGGGGACAAAGATCGAAAGTTCAGTGAGGGCAGGGCGATTAAAGTTTGAACCAGGGAAAGGGGTACTGCGTCATAGTAACGCATTTGGTCTTTATTTTTTACAAAAAACCATTAATCACTATTTGATGTATTACGCTATTACGCGATAAGCTGTACGTGGACTCTAATTTGAATTCGAGCTCTGCACAGAACTCTTCAAACTCATTATTACGAGATACAGGTACAGTAACTCACATATAGGGAAGGGGTAGCATACAGGTTCGGTGTAGGCTTCCAGGATAGTGATTTACGAGCAAGCGAACTGGCCATCGAAATGGAGGAGTATTCACACTTTTGGTCTGTATTGATAATTTAATTGAATTTTTAGGTCCCAGGATTATTTGAGGGCGATGAATATACGACCCTGATGAGTCAAATCAAGGAAGGAGCGCATCGTCAAGGCCTTATGCTTGATTCACCCGATGAGCTCTACAAGTGGTTCACTGCTCAGGTAAAATCCAAACTTTATTATATATAAACGTCGCTGAATACAATCTGGGGATTCGTTGGAATCAGTAAGTGAAGAAGCAAAAAAAATTTTTGAGTGAGGGGGCCAAAATTGCTCAGGATTTTTCAGTTATTTCCGGGCTCGTTCGCGGATACCACGATTATCCGGTGGTTGGGTTTGGGCTCGTTAATACCTACTTGGAAGGGGAACATTCCCATAAAATTCCAGCTCTCTAGCTTTTCTGGTTCGCGAGTCGATTTGGTGGATTTTTCATCATTGGATATCTGTTTTTAATAGAGAGGTATATTAACAAGGGATGAGATAAGAAGAATCAAAAAGGACGGTAGAAAATGGGAATTAGGAAATTAGGAAATTTGTAAAATTTTTATAATAATAAAAAATGTTTTGATCCATTGAGTTGTATACATTTCTTACCTTTACCATAATTTATATCGTTGTGGCGTTTTTTTTTTTTACATTCCTTTCACCCAAACTGTAATATTCACATATTAAACCTTCATCCAAATTATCTTTGTTACCGCAGTCGTCGTTCGGACGAGGTCCAGTTGTGGTAACGGTAAGAAACGTACACGACTTAATGGACCGAAACATTTCTTATCACTTACAAATATTCCAGTACTCCCTTTCCCCTTTTTTCCACTTCGTTTTCCTTCCCTTTTTCCCTTTCATCATTTTCTACCTTAGCCTTCAATATAATAGATTTTTTATATGACAGGTGATGCGAAATTTGCATGTCGTATTTACAATGAACCCTTCGGGCGAAGGACTTCGTGAACGTGCCTCAACTTCACCGGCTTTGTTCAACAGATGCGTGCTGAACTGGTTTGGCGATTGGACCGATTCAGCTCTTTATCAGGTAATAATATTTTTGGAATTTGGGCACAAAAATGAGGAACTTGTTTCGAAATTGAATCTTTGTGTATCATTTTTTTCAAATATTCGTTATTTTTTGAATTTTTGAGTTTTTCTAGCGGATGATGAAACTTTTCGTATGCGATACTTTTCTTTCAGCGGCCAGAATAATACTCCCTCTCGCAAAAATGCCATAATCTGTATCAGAGGGAGAGGGGGGGGGGGCATTATGATGACAGTTTTGAAAGTACGCAAAACATTGACTAGTTCTTTTTGCTTTGTTCAGAAATAAAACCTGGCACCGTCCTACATATTTCTAAATAATGGAATAAGAAGATTGTAATTAGGTGTTATGTATTATAACACATTCCACGATGCAGTCAGTGTTTCATCCCTTAA